TATTCCATCGTTTCATGGAAGTAATAGTTTTATTTGTTGGATTTTTCAACGTTTTGTGGTAATAATAATGAGTTAGTTGTTAAATATTTCGACGTTTTGTGGTAACAACAGATACACAGAACATTAAATATAGACTATTTTAAATCGTTCTCATATTTGTTTCGGGAAAATCTATAATTCTAACATTAAATTATGGAAAGTTATTTAACTTTTCCTTAAGTAAATTAAATATTTCTTTACCTAACAAAACAAAAAAAAATTATTTAGATGAAAACCAACAACTTGTTTTGAATATAACTTTTTAATTACCCCACGAAAGAACAACATTCTTTTTATGGTAAGTCTATGAAGTCGACAAAAAATAAGTGTATCTCTAGCATACTTAAGAATTTTTGAAACGAAAAATAAAACTTATTTAACTTAAATAGAATGAATCTAGCTTCTTTAGCCTAAAATTGGAAGTAATATGTTTTGCAGAATGCTGTAATCAAGTTAGAACTGTTTAGTGCGTAAACAGAAACAGTGGCATAGTTGCTGAGTGTTAGGTTAGGCGAATACAGTGAATGAATATTTTTGAAACAGTCATCGACTGGGTTAAGTGTGATTCTTAAAAGACGGTGAAAACAGTAAACATCTAGATACGATCCAGAGTAACATTAGTACATTAGAGGCAAAAAAGATCCTCCGTAATAGCGGTGAATATCTAATTACGAGCAAGAGTAGCATTATTACGTTAGAAGTAATAAGGTCCTCCATAACCGAGTTGGTTCTCTTACCACACTATACAAAGTAGAGTAATCGTTAATATAGGTCAATGAAGAACATTTAACTACATTTCATAGTTTGTTCTCACGTCCCTGAAGAAAGAAGGTTCAGTTTTCGAAAGTGCTTGAGTTTTCCAATTTACTTAATTGAGATTTATCTATTCTTTGCTTTATTCTATTTTCCAACGATAATGAATGAAACAGTTCAGTTCTTCTCAGTTTGTTGGAAACTTTCACGTGCATAACAATTAATTTCATCATTTAATCAAACAAGTTTAGGAAACAATTCTTTTATATATATAACGATGCTCCCTAGAAAGATTTAAAAGGATTCCCAAGAGTAATTTTCATTTTTGTTGAAACCACATATTCTTAAAAGACGGTGAAAACAGTCTGACTGAAATGAAAAACCTAGTTTAATTAATGAAACAAAAAACTGTTTCTAAGTTAGTGTTGTTGATTTCAACAGGTTGTGACGCTAGTAACCTATACGTTCTTCTTAACCCACCTGATGAGCAAACAGAGCTTGGAATCGGACAGTAACCATGTCGGCGAAGTTGACTTTTATGTTCCATTCTTCACGTTGTTCCAGCTCTTCTTTTACATGGGATGGCTAAAGGTAAGTTTCAAGTTAGATTTAGTTCTACTCTTCAGTAACAATTTCTGTGAAATGAACTTCTATGTACCAGTTCTTTTACATGGGATGGCTAAAGGTGAGTTTGGAGTTATAGGAAAGTTCAGCGAAAATAATTTTTTCATAAATTTTTAATATCGGAAAGTGTGAAATTATGAATACTAAACGCGGAAAAACTTTTATTTTTAACTAGTAATAGAAAAACCAATTCCCAATATGGAATGATTAAATTACTAGCTACAAAACCACGTTAGTAACTTTTTATTGAATTTAATTCAAAGAAAATAACTTGTCACTGAAAATGTGGTTGTTGGAGTAATTTTATTTTTAATAAGCTGTGCTATCATATGTTTAAAAAAAAAAGAGGCTTCCTACTAATAAAGATTCTCTCATCATTAGGTTGCAGAACAACTGATTAATCCTTATGGAGAGGATGATGACGATTTCGAATTGAATTGGTGCCTGGATAGAAATATACAGGTTTGAGGATTAGCATTTAGTTAATTTTTTGAAAAATGATATATTTTAATATTGTTATCCATATACTAACTTTTTTTACTTCCCACGAATCTAAGAAAAGTATTGAATGGAACTCAGAACAGCCTGGAATACTCTGGTGCAATGAAAGAGGGCGTTGGTGGATATCTTACAATTTACACAAGTTAAACGTCTCGGCCCAAAAGTGTAGAAAGTTTTACGAGACAGTATTTCTTACCACCAATCTGGCTGAGCTGATAAGAGCTAATTTTTGTTAAAATGCATTTTCCACCTGGTTACTCGATGCCATTCTGGAGGGTTTACAGGTGCACCTGGGGTGGATTAATAGAAATGAAAGGAGAAGAGATGAATATCTGTATAGATTTGTGGTAACTTTAATCTCGCTAGTTGTACTACAACCATACAGAAGGTTTGTGGTTGTTGGAGAGGAAGGGCATTTCTACTGTGTTTTCTAAAA